TAACGACATAAAACAAAAAGCAAGTTTCCACATCATTTACAAAATTTATAGCTATGGTCCAGACTTTTAAAGCTAGACAGTATGAACGTACATGTTAGGTAAGCCCATTTGCACTGGTAGATCACTGGAGAATTTCTGAGTAACTTCTGCTCTGACCCCTCCCCTCCATTTTCATTTAATCCTTCTCATGAAGGTTTGTATGTGAATGGGAAACAGGTCAAGTTTCAGAAACTCTGGCTCCTGCATGTGAAAACACCGAGTAAGGAAGAAGTAGAAAACATACAGCAAGCACTATGACCCACAGGAATCCTTCGAGAAATGGTCAATAAAAATATCAGAAAGTACAGAAAGTAAGACTAAACATCTTCAACACTGAATTAGACATCAGGCGAAAGAATAATGTTCCTGTAGATTTACCAATGATTCCAAATTAGGTGAATTCGTTGTTCTGGAAGGATTCTTGATAATTACAAATCATCAGGAGAATTAGAGAAGTGGAGACTTCCAAGTAAAGGGGAGTGTGGGTCCCTGTGTTGACTTTCACTTCTTCCCAAGTCCCCAGGAAAAAGACGGTAAAGAGATATTTTTTAAAAGCATTGACTCACTCAAATAGAAAGGGAAGAAGAGGCAATAGCATTGGAACTTGAGCAGATGTAAGAGTGGTAGGTGATTAGATCCAAGGCGGCAAGAGGGACAGCAGCAACCTACTTTATACCACAGGTACCTGAAAGTGGTCGGAACTGACGACCTCGCTTTGGGAGGGAGAAACCAAAGGCAGAAACCAAAGGAGGGAGACTGGTGGGAAGTCTGTTTAAGCATGGAAGGATCCCATCCTCCTCCACACAGATGGGCAACGGCCCTGCCTGCAACCGTGGAAGAAGAGACAAGAGGTAAAATCCATGGTGTCTAGGCTGGGAGATACTGGGCACAGGTAAGGGCAGAGATGATTAATAAAAAGAGGAAATTAAGAGAATATTCACAAGCTAAAGACTGAGACTTTTCTAGCCCTCTTCCACTACTCAGCTCCTAAAACACAGGCAGCTATGTCTACCCTCCAGGCTGAAGACTGGAAGATCCTTCTCTGGGGAATGTGAACAGCCCAAGAGGAAAATACAAAAAAAAAAAAATGACATATAAGATCCCCAAAGAAACAACTCAGCCAGATCAGCCTGACAAACCTCACCTACATACTCTGAATACCCATTCAGTCTTGTGGTGTCCACTCTTAAACTAAGTAGCCAACCATGGATTATCAGACATTTGAAGAAAGCCTTTAAAACACACAAGAAAAAAAAAACCTGGGGGTGGAGTTAGAGTGGAGAACAGACACTATGCAGGAAGAAGAAAATGTCAATTATCCAGTGACATTGCATTCATGGGACAAGACCACGATGTTATTTTAAATAATAAAATAAAAGGAACATTTAGGGATTAAATTAAAAGCACTTGGAAGAAATGAAAAACTTATGGAAGTAGAGGAAATTTGCCAGAAAGTATTATATAAATATAGTAATGTAAAAAGAGAAAATAAATTATAGAGAACCAATTCTAGAGTTCCAATATCTAAGTAATGGGGCTTCCATAAAAAAAAAAAATCTGAGAAAAATGAAAGAAATCATCAGTAGAATAATTCAAGAGAATTGTCCAGCACGGAAGGTCAAGAGGTTCAAGGATTCAAAGGATCTACCAAGTATCCACAACAAGGAATGAAAACAGACCCAGACAAAGGAACGTCACAGAAATTTCAGAATGCTGGGAACAAAGTGAAAATCTTAGGCATCCAGAGAAAAATGACAGATCGCATACAAGGATCAGGAATTATAATGGCTTCAGAAGTCTCAATAGCAACATGAAAATAAGAATTTATTGACACGATGTTTTCAAAATACAGGCCTGGAATTCTATACTTGGCTGAGTTAACAATTAAATGTGAAAGTAGAATGATGGCATTTTTCAGACACGCAAGGTGATAAAAATGTACTTCTCTGTTTTTTGAAGGCTAATACAGGATGTGTTCCACCAAAACAAGGACAAAAATTTTAAAAGAGAGGGGTGAGGGAGAAAATGGGATTCAGGAATCCAAGAATCCAACATAGAGAAAGATAAAGAGAACCCCGCAGAGATCCTAGAATGACAATTATTCTCAACAAATTGAGGGCAAACAGTCCTAATTGCAAAAGGTCAAAGAGTTCTAGAAGATATTTCTTTAAGAGGATGAAATTGGTAGAATATTCAACACACAGAGTGTTCTGTCTGAATGCATGGAGAAATGTTGTCATTGACAGTTTGAAGTTAAACCAGTAATAATAAGTATATAAAAAATGAAGTAAACAATCAAAAAAAATGGTCAACTCCAGCAAAAAAGTTGTGCAGAAAGGGTGAAATAATAATATTTTAAATGATTTGTTGTGAACAATGTTTACATTGTTATAACAATGTAACCACTAAGTATAGACCCAAATTTTGATATAAGTATACTGAGAAGAGGAAGGATTGGAGAGAGAGCGAGAGAGCGAGAGAGAGAGAATGAGAGAGTTAGTTAGTTAGTTGGAATGAGGGGCAGGGTGAAAGGAAGTCTAGATGTATGTGCCTCCTAGCTCTCAACTATATATCCAACTGCCAAATACCAGCATGTAAAAAATGTACCCGTGCTCCTTCCCTCCAAGTCTCCTTTCTTCCATCACTTGTTAAGTGATGACATTTTCATATCACTGTTTTGTTCCCCACCCACACCACACCATCCTATGGAATCTCTCTCCATTCCCTATTTTCTTAGGCCGCCGTCAACTTTCCAAACTGGTCTGCCTGTTCCTGCCCATTTTCTATCACGCAGGCAGAGGGATCTTTCTAAAATTCAAAGCCAATCATATCACTTTCTTGCTTAAAATTCTTCCATTTTTCCCATCGACTTTAGGATAAGGTTTGAACTCATTCACCTGGCATGTAAGATTTCATGATCCGACCTCCACCTCCTGTGCTTTTTTTTTTTTCAACATTCCCAGGAATGTCTTCCCCATCCCATCTCACCTCTAAGTTCTGGCCAGTCATACTGAAGTCCTTCACAGATCCTGAAGCCCAGGCTGCTCGCACCTCTGACCTCTGCATTGCTGTGCCCTTTATTCTAGAAGTTTTTTAACTAAAATTATATGCAAAATTTTGTGTGAGTGTGTGTGCCTATGTATGGATACAAAAAAGCACATGTATAAAAACTTGCAAATGATTTTGACAGTATTTATAAATGCCCTGGATATCAATTTCGCTCCCTACTTTAATAACCCCTTCCTTAAGATATGAGCAAGCTTACAGCTGATATAAAAAAAAATTCTGAAATACATGATTCAGAATTTCTGCGTACAAAGCATATATGAATTACATATATCGACATCAACTACCTATTATATCACATTGGAATGTTCTCCAATGCTCTTCTTCCCAAAGAAAGTTGGTTAAATTCTTTGAAAGTTGGTTTCCCTGAGAAGGGGTTACCCTAGTGAAAAATGTCCCTTCATTATTTTGAGAATAGCGAGATCCTAGAATGTGAATACTTTTTTGCCTTATAAGAATGCCTAAGCGAGCTGTTACAAAAAAAAAAATTAAAAAAATTTGGATGATATTAGATGAACAGCTGTGTAGAAAGGGGAATGTAAAAATAAAAACTGCATGTTGGAGCATCAAAATAGTAACCATGTACAGTATATGACTGTTTTTAATCAGATGAAAATTAAAGCTATTACATTTCAAATCAAATGTTATAAATTAGTTCAAGAATGCAGCTGAGCTCTCATTTAATTAGAAATGTCCATGTTTAAATCATGAGGTACAGTAGCTGCCAATGAAGCAAAAGGGCAAGAGAAGAGAGAAACACTGTGTCCAGAGCCTCCGACTGTCAACCGTCTCCTACGCGGGATGAACATCTGGGGTGGACTGGTCGTGATGTAATGAAGAACTTCATGTACTAGCTAATTTGAGATTTAACGTAATTGAACATAATTGTTTTGAAGACAATTAAAATCATTACTCTGGTCTGCACAATTCTGAACTCTTCATTGCTGTGTGAAACATATTTTCCCCCATGTTGAATTTTAACTCTTTCTTGGATAAAAAGGAAAGCAAATTTGGGGCCCGGATTTCCCTGGGAAATAATACTTGGATTGTCCGGTCGTGTTAAAATGCAGCACAAAGTGAGGTTCTCCTCTGGAAACAAGTCTCATTTCCTATTTCTAGTGCTTGATGTAGCTCAGCTAGAGTCCAAATTTACATCCCAAATGTAAATAAAAATGAGGCAACATCATAGAGGGATTTCTGAGGTCATACAGAGAAGAATGCAATTATCCTAAGGCCGGACTTTTCCCCAAAGGTTATGAGCCTCTGCATGTCGTAATTAACCGTAGTACAGCTAGACAGTCCAGGCAAAAGGTCTTTCTTTTCTCCCAATTTGCCTAATTCAAAAACACCTCAAGTGACATAGCTCAAATTTTCCAAATTAAACTTACCCCTGGGGCTGAAATCAAGCATGTGACAGTTCAGTTCTAAAGAAAATCTTAAAGAGAGTTGTGCATAGGGAAAAAAAGGGAAAAAGGCAGAGGAAAAAGGGGTAGAAGTTAACATTTAAGTGGTTTTTCAACCTCATCATTACCCCTGCTCAAGAAAATAAGACACAGATGGGCAAACACACCATCGTTCTACTCTGAAGAGTCTAAGGAACTCATTAAAAACTACTGTTTCCTTATGATCTATCATGAATTCGTAAGGGACAAAATGATTGATTTGCCTCATCCCACAGCAGTTAGTGCTCCATGGTGTCACGGCATGGAAAGTGGAAGGATGAGTCACGAAGACACAGTGTGCCACTGCAACTCATGAAAGCTTATTGTTGATACAAGTCTTCAAGGTCGACTTTTCCCGGGGAGTTTCGGAATGATTATATTGTCACGAGCTGTTCTGATTTGTAAAAATGGTTTCCATTAAGAAATGACACACTACTCCAAACTTTCTCTTACTTCTGGCCACAGCTCCACACTCTCCCATTCCAACATCAGTGAGCAGATACACGGGAATCAGGTCCACTCTCCCAAGCAAGGGTGGATTCCCTCCCGAATCTCTGTATTGACAGACTGAAAGGTCTTCACTCAGGCAGTCAGAATAGTATTCCCTTAAAAAGGTAAAATTCTAAAAAACAATCATTAAACTTTCAAACAGCTAAAAAAAGCAGCTATATTTTATTGTACCACTAGTTGTTTTTTTGTAATCTGTATAAAAAATTTTTGCATACAAAATAAAAAAAAAGATCCAACATTTCCCTTTGTCCCGCCTCCTAATTGTCATAAAGTTTCACATTTCTTCCAGTTCTTTATTCCCCAAAGTAGAGGAATTATGCACTGTTTATCAGTCTTAAACAACTCTGTATTTTTTACAATTGGTTATTTTAATTTTTTCAACTTTATCAAATTAATCTGATTAATCAAAATTTTTTATAAATTTGTTAAAATATACATACAAACATAAATTTTTTTAAAGTATATGTACTTATTTTAGTTTTGCTTTTATCCAGTATTTAGATTTTTCATTAAGTTGTTATACATAAATATATATTATAGACACCTAAAAGTTTTATGTTATGACTTTGAGTTTTCATTTGCAGTGTAGTATGACTATTTTAGCAAGAGAGATAAAGAACGAAGAAGTAAATTTTACTTCTTTTGATTAATATTCAAGATAACTTGTCCTATGTTTGCTGAGAGTTATCAATTTGCTCTTTGCTCTTCAAACATACCTTTTGAAAAAAGACAGTCTGCTAAGTTGAAATAAAGTTTATTTGAAAATATTTTGAACACTTTACTCAGCAATATTAAGATAAGCAGGTTTTTGTTTAAACAATTATGATCCTTCAAATTCAAGTTGTCCCACTAAACCTTACAACATGAGAACTGGAGCCCATTTCCTTTCAGTGCATGAACCAACTCAAGATTTCTGGCTCCCGACCTAAAATACAACTCTTTAGCATGTTTCAGTCCATGCTATCAATGAAATCAAGGCTGACTTCAATACTATCATTTCACAGGTTAAAACTTGAAGATGTTTTTTCTTAACCACAAAGGTTATGTGATCATCTTCAGGGAAGGAATGTTATTAAATCTTGGACCCCAAAGTTCATTTTAATGAAGAGGAAATGGAAAATGTTTGATACGTACATGCTCAGAAAAATGATGAAATGCAGTTTTAAGGTAGACTCTCTACATAATGCAGTATTCAGATTTAAACAGGAAGTCAATAATTGAAGAGCATTCAGGTCTACCTGAAGCCTATCCTTCATCAAAAGACATATATGTAAAGAAAGAAGCTGCTATTGGAATAACGGATCTGCTATAGTCTTGATCAGAAAATATATTGAGCACTGATAGTTCAGGATGTTTTTACCTTGTAAAGAAAAAAAAATGTAAATGCAAAAATTATTTTCTGTGATAAAAAGTAATACTTTATTTCTTTTGATAGAATTAAATTTAGTTCAACAGAAAAATTCTGGGATGTCACCTTTGAAGTGACATCACCTGATCATAAAATTCGTGCGTAGCAATGCCCACTTCTCATTGCAACTTCCGATATAACCAGACTGCTCATCTCAGACTCTACGCTCTGGTGTCTCTTAACTTGGTCTAAGACGTAGCCTCTTTTTTCAACTGCCAAATCATATCACTCTAAATTCTGCTCTTTGTCAATCTCATCTTCTAGGCTTTATCAATTTTTTCCTTCCCAACCCCAGAAATCAAACTGTCTGAATCAAAATCTGACATCTGGAAAAACTAGAATAGGCCAATTAGTGCCTGAAGCAGAGGTTTCTGGGATGCATGCACCTGTCTATTAGAAACCATTCTGCCTCCACCATCTCCTTTTCAGAGGCCACCAACAGCCTTCAGATGTTAACGACTTCCAGCTTCCAGTGGCTTGTGACTCACTTGAATGTGTAACCTGGAGGAGAACGCTGCCCTATAGTGTATGGCAGCCACACGTAACCCCAAAGCTATTTCTGAAGTTTATGAGCCTGGTTCAGGCCCCTTAAAAGCCCCCCTTAAGTCTACAAAAGCAAATTCAAAGTGAAGGACAAAAGTTTTCAGGCGGTAATTAAAGCTTTCGCTAGGCCATTATACCTTTGTCGCCCTGTCCCCTGGCAGCTTAACAATTAATCTTTTCAGAAGAGAGGAAAAATAAGTTACACTCAGGAACTACAGAGCTTACAGCAGCCCTATGCTATTAATTTTAATAACGTGAAAAGATAAAACTTATGTCACTCACTCAAAGCCAAATGAGCATCTAATACAGCCCTGCCCTGGTGTAGGTCTAAAATTTATAAGTAGGTTTTCTTACCTAAGACCTTTTGGACCATTTAAATGTTTTCACATTACTTTAATTAGAAAACTTATAGGTGATACAGTTTTATCCCACTCACTTTAAAATAAATGCCTTTAAGGTATCTGTAAAACAATAGGTCATTTTCTTAACTAGTGCTACCCTCCTTGCATTTTCATAACTATAAAAGATGAAGCAAGAAGAAGATCATACAGTCTCCTTTTTAATGTATTTTTCAACATACTCTAGCTCTCAGAAGAAGAGATTATTTTATTTTATTTTTTCATCCTAAATCTTCTGAAAATTTTTTATTCTCAGTTTCATATGATTCAATTAAATCAAATGCTGAAAGAATGAAACACTTTCTCTTGCAATTTCTTAAGCATGCAGATACAAAAAAAAAAAATTACTGCTGGCAGGAGGAGCTGTCAGTCTGAATCTCAGCAGAAGTAAATTGTTTGGTATTTGTAATGGAGTGTAATAGCTATAATTCCATTTGAGCTGCTGCTACTAATAAGCTGATAAAAACTGTGAGTTGAGACCCAGGCGTCCATCAGTGTGTGGCTTCCACAAATGTCTCCGCACATTCACTTAATCACAGAGACAGGTAACCCAATCCCATTAGATGTACTGTGTCTGACAATGAGGAGCCCAAGCAGGCTCTTCCCACAAAGAGAGTGCAAAAGCGCAGCTGTATGCTGACTCCAGAGGCGTTTTCTTATCAGCAATTATCAGGAATTTCCATAGACATTTCCAGCTACTGCAAGACAGTAACTTAAATGTGCTAATCGTTAGAAATGGGCTGGGGGAAACACTTCTCTCTCATGAAAAGCTGTAACCAAATCAAAAATAACTATCGGAAATTAAAATATACTATCTGAAATGCTCTGGGGCTATGGTCCTAAAGCTCACCTGTTGCCAAGAAACTTGATTTAATAACAAAGCTTTTCTATTTAAACCATTGTAAAACTGTAAATACACTGTGGTGGGTGGGTGGGTGTGTGAGTAAAAACAAATGATATCTAGAACTGTGTGTTATTACAGCAACACTTTAACAAGGGCGAAAAAAAGAAAAAAAAAAAAAAAGTGGTATCTTTCATAGTAAATACTGGCCCAGGGAGTAAGGAGGCTTGAGTTCCAATCTCCTGAACTGCTAAGTGATCTTTTGCACATCACTTATATGCAATTGCTTAACAGTCATTATATGGAGAAAATGGAATAGATATAATAGTGCTGTAATGACAGCAAGGGCTTTACTGGCAGGAGTGCTTGGGAAAGTTGTTGGTATTTGGCAAGTTTATTTTTCATGTAATCTGCAGAACAAAAAGCATAATGTACAATTATGCCCATTCTATTAATGATCAAATAAATAGCCCATGAGGAGAACATTAAACCTTTATGTAACTATATCCTGCTCAGGAGCCTGTCAATATCCTAAACAGTGGCCATTTCAGACACTTAATCTCCAATGTGAAGAACCGGACTGCTGAATACATGCAGGCTTTTGGAAAACAGCATATGTGCACATCAGATTAACTGATCAATCTCAGTGTCCTGGAATCCTGCAGAAACTGTAAGAGCCCAAGAACAAGGGGGGAAATCTAGGAAGAGTGTTCTACAGATACTGTCTACAGAGTATCGATAATCAAAACACTGCATATCCTCTTCAATTGTCTGTTGTTCCTACCATTTTTTCCAAGAAGAGTTGCTTTTACTATGTTCCTCAACAATGCGTTTTCTTCTGGCTTCTGAAATGTTTAGTAAACAGGCAGCCAAACGGAGCTCCAGTCTGGAGGGAGACATGCTGAGTTTTTTCTAAAATAGTCTTCATTTCAGTCTCTACAGTTCATTAATATTTTCATGTTCATTAACCATAAAAAAAATCATAGCTCTTTGGAAACTGTGCAGTCAAAACATTAACACTTCACTATTACATTCCTAGAGAACACCTAAATGACAAAACCCTCAGATTGGCTCAACCAAGAAACCATGTGTATGAGGTCATGCACATACAAACATATGAACGTAGTAACAATACTAGAAAATATCCCTCAAATTAGTCAGCCTAATTCTGTCATATAAGTGAAACTTTTTCATTAAGTATATTATTCCCTTTTAAGCATTATCTTCCTTAGCTTATGCTGCTTTAGAGGTCTGCACTATTTAACAAATAAGCACGATCCTTTTGTTGAATGAGACTTATTGGGGAAATAAAGAAAAGAGAAATAAGGGAGACTATTTAATATGCTGATTCTTATATTCCTCTGATAAAAAGAAAATGTATCTCTATAGGCCACGCCATGGGGAGTATATGAACAAAGAGACTCACTTGGGGGCTTCAAATGACAACTATTTGACTAAGTTCCTCTTGTACTTTGATCTCCAAAGTTTCTAAATCAGTTTAAAATCTTCACAGGACTCTGTACCTGGGACTAAAAGCTGACATGTACTCTGATGTTATTGATTAATGCCCAGAATGTGACTCTTTCACTGAAAATGGATAATTACACACGTTTTGGAGGATGCTTTCTCTTCAGTACTCCAGAATGGCATTTTTCAACTTGTTATCTTTCCATACCTCAGATGATATTCTGAGCTAAAGAAATTTAAATATCTCAAAATAAAAAGAATTACTCTTTTCAAGACCAGACCATTATATTATAGCATCTTTCAAATACATTTTAAAATGAATTCATTCAACAAATAGTTGATGAAGATCATTTTGTGCCGAGGAATGTTCTCTGTGTGGGAGATCCGGCAGTGAATGATGTCCAACTCTGAGACAAACATTAAGCTTATGAGTTTGAACTAAACGTGCTGTGGTACAAGTAACACTGCTCTCCATGAATATATCTGCCGGTTTCTGTTCATTAGGATTGTTCCTTGGCCTAAGCATCTTAACCTAGAGGGAGTATGGTTTCCATGGTTAGTTCTGGTTTTCATACCGTGACCATCATCTCATCGAAAATTCGTAAGAATATGGTTATTAGATTTTTCTAGACATTAATAACATTGTTGTAATAAAGCAGCTCAGACCTCTGGTTTTTATGTAAACAAAAAATTGCTTTACACAAGGGGTGTGGGCGTCTTCTGGCTTTCATTTGTTTTCGGTGTGTTTATGTAGCTTAATTGTCTCATCAGGCACTTTCCCAACATAATTATGCTTTTTAACAAATGGTGTTTATGGCAACCCCTAACAGTGCAAAAGAAAGGATTAGTTTCATCTTCTCATTCCACATTTTGATTCCCTGTGGACAGCTAAATCACACAAAGATGGTGTTAGAAAAATCCACCTTCACAGCAAACGCTGAAATTAGCAGCAGTACCAGGCTTTTGGAGAGTAGTCAGGCTTTTTAGTAGAAAGGGTTGGAATTTCTCTCCCTCCTCCTCTAGGAAAGTGACCCGGGAGCAAGTCCTCCTAACACTTCTGGAAGAGTGGGATCCTAGTCCACCTACCCCTTCAATCACTGTTTGGTTACTTCCGGCGATAGACCAAAAACCTGCCTCGCCCCAGAAGGAACTAGCAGGGCCAGTGGCGAGTGGAGCAGTTCGCGACGTTTCGGCCAGATCGCCTGCCTCCTGCGCACGCACCACCATTAACACTTTTAAGGTCGCAGAGACTCGCCGACTAGACGGAAGCGTGTGCTCGGGGACAGAACCTGCGGCTGGGACCCCTGTGCACGGCCCCACCGCGGTTCCGGTGTGGAGTGACCCAGAGCCACGTGGGCCGAAGGGTGAACCGAGACTCGGCGAGGGCCCCGGGGAACTCTCTGACCACCCCAGGAGGCCCGCCGGGAGCAGCGTCTGCAGACAGCGGGGCTATGGAACCAGGGGCTGCCCCGGGCGCGGCTCGAACCTGCGGCCGCTCGATGGTTTGCAAGATGAACCAACCTTCGCGCGCGGAGGGATGGCAGGCTGGGATGGCAGGCTGGGATGGCACCGAGCCGGGGTCGCCGCGCGTGACCGACGCGCAGCTTCCGCCGCCGGCCCCGCCCCACGGGCGCCCCGGGCGCGCTCCAGCCCAGCCGTGTGCCGCCGGGCCGGCTCTGCAGGTCTGGCCCTGACCCTGGCCTCGGCCCCGCGTGCCCGCGTCCGGGAAAGCTGAACGTTCGTTTTGGAATTGCCTCCTCGCCTCCTCTGCTTCATCTGGGGAAGCTCCACAATTCTCCCTTGTAAATGAATGACTTTCTAAAAGGGCAGTAGAATATAATGACGAGGTCATTAGCCATTGATCATACACCAGCAGGGGGCGCTTTTCTCTGGTTTACACACACACACACACACACACGCACCCCTTTGGAATGTAGTCCCCTGAGAAACACTGCCCGCGAGCGCTTGTAAATATGATTTGGACCCACCCCAGGACAAAAGCAGTACTTAGTCAAAGTAACAACCAGTATGAACCAGGCATTAAGCTTTTCCCTTTTTTCTAGGCCAGTGAACTTTGAGAACACATTTCTCTTCCAAAAAATCAGAACCTGCTTTTTTTTTTTAATGTAGCAGCGATTAAATGTCACCATTTTGATCCAATTTCGTTCCTAAACTGAAATAATCACTAAATAACTACTTTAACAGAATAAATTAATTTCTAAATCTATTTTTTATTTTCTAATTATACTTTTTAAACACAGATTTGACGAAATTAACATTTATGTGGACATTTGGTTTCTAGCCTAATGTGGCATAAAAATAAGTAACATAATGAGTGTTAAAAAAAATCAGGTTCATGATGCTTCTCACATCATCATCATTGTACTTAAATGTCACAACAGTATTATGTGCGATTGTGTCAGATCCAGCCTTCCCCATCTCAGAGTGTTGGCAGGTAGGAGGGTTGTTGGCAAGAGGAGGGGTGTTAACCTCAGGATCCTGGATCCATTCCAAGGCTGGTAATTACATTCTGCCAGCCAAAATTCATCCCATAATTTTAATTGGATAAATCCTTTCTGGCCTAAGCTACTGCTATGCCTGTCAAACTGTTGCCACATTTCACCCCAGAGGTGTCTGTGTTTTAGTTGCAAGAATCAGTCCCTTGGAGGTTGGCTTATCAGTTTAAATCCTCAAAGTGGTTTGGGATCCTATGAAATTAAATACATATTTAGGTATTTTTCTACTGAATCTTTATAGAAATGCATAAAATAGCTATCCATGTTAATGCCTAAAAACCAATATCCATCTAATGTCGGCAGATAATTTTGAGAGCTTTTTAATCAGATCGATGTCCCTGAACTTTCTCTTCCTCACTTTTGATAGCTTTTATTGTCTATAACAGCTTCCAATTTCCAAAAAGTATTGCAGCATCCAAAGTTGACTTCCACTGATGGAGGACAGTGGAACCAAAGCCCCTGTATTTCACCTTTCCAAACAATTCTATGATGAATCTACTTCCTAAAACGGAAGACGGAGTAGTAACACTACACCTAGTCTTATTATATTCCTCCAGATAAAAGTTTGACAACTAGGGCCTTCGTGCTTCTAACTGTAGCAACTGCCATAACTAAAGCTTCCTCTCCATATCTCCTAATACCCTCTTTGAGAATCTCTCTCCCTTACTGGGCTGCCAGAGCATCAAGTAAGATAACGTTCCTGAAAGCATCAACATCAGGAGTTACTCAGTAAACCTTGGTCCCTTTCTCCATTCTATCCACATCAAACACAAATTGAAAGAAAGCAGAGCTCCAGTGTTCTATATGGAGGCAGGGGGAGCATCTGGCCCTGCCTCAGGACTGTAAGCATGTCTTTTGAGAAAAAACAAGGAGACAGATATCCACAAGTCTGAAGAGAAGTTTAGCAATAAAATTGGAAGTATTATTTTCTCTTCAAGAATGGAAAGGTACTCTTAGTTACCTTTGTTAGTTTAGCTCTACCACATGTAATCCAGACCATTTCATGATTCATAAAGAGCTTTATGTCATATTCACAATGTACGTACAGCAAGCCTCTCATTTTTATTTAACTGCTTGCTTTGGGGGAATTTTTTCATACTTTCGGGGTGAATGTGTTACTCTGACTACTCATTTCTCCTGCCAGGTCCACGTTCAGGGCATTAGTTCCTTTGCTCATTGTGGTTCCTGTCTAGAAACGAAGCACGGAAGAGAGCACAGCTACAAGGCCCAGTGTCAGTTCTACCAATGACAACCGTTTCCGAACTCTCCCATTGGTTCCCTGTGAGACAAAGAGGACACTTTTCTGCACTCTTCATTTCACTTTCGCAAGCAGGCAGAATGTAGTTCTTGGAGTCTTCCCTGGCCATTAGAGCTGAGGCAGTAAAAGGCAAAGGTTTCGCTCTAGTGTGCCTCCATAGATCTGCGTACTCTTCATTTCATTTTCGCAAGCAGGCAGAATGTAGCTCTTGGAGTCTTCCCTGGCCCATTAGAGCTGAGGCAGTAAAAGGGAAAGGTTTCGCTCTAGTGTGCCTCCATAGATCTGCTGAGACCCAGAGCCTAGGTCCTAGGCTCGAGCAGGGCCAGGATTAGGGCGAGTGAGTGAGGCACTCACCTGGGGAGCAAAATTTAAGTGGGTGCCAAAACACTAGGTAATGCAATATCTTAAAAAATCAAAATTAATGCAAAATTAGGAATCCATGGTGAACAAAATGGCAAAATTTTAAGTAAAGACAGGATCCTACCCTGCACTTGCCCGACTCAGTCTCACTCTCCTCACCCTGATCCCTGCCCTGTGGTTGTGGTCTCCTTTGTGCCAGCCTGTTTCTGATTGTAGGGTTGAAAGGAAACTGCACCGCTCGGTCCTGCCTGCATTCTCTTTTCAGACCCCCCAAATGGGCAACAAAACCAGAAATGTCA